GATCCTTTGCCCGGCCGCTGGCGTTAGTGATCCTTGTTGCAGTACCCATCATCATGTTTTCATTCACACTATACCCCTTCATTTCCAGCTATGAGGGCCGGTCACATGGGACCAGCTTTCAGGATCGGGCCATGCGATGGGCTGCTCTCGTCCCCGCCATCTCAGCCTGTGTCTGGGTGTACATGGCTTGGAAGGGCCGCAACGCCATCCGTCAGGCGATTGAGATATTGGAGTTCTCTACTAGAATTCTTGCAGCAAACACGGCACTCCTCATCTTGGGTTTCAGCTGTCTCGCGATCATAGTAACGTGGACCTGGGTCTGGATGTGGATGTTCTCGAGAATCTTCTTGGGTGGGTACTTCTCTAGAAGACTTGCCAGGTTCATCATCAGCGTGTCCAGCTGGTGGCTGGGTATCTGGTTCGTATTGATGTACATGTGGACAATCGGAGTCATCAACGCGGTGCAACGGGCGACCACAGCAGCGACAGTGTCCCAATGGTACTTCCACCGCAACGCGGCTCCGGCCCCAACGTCGGCGGAGATTGTCACGGCTGCGCTAAACCACGCGACGACGACCATCTTTGGCAGCATCTGCGAGTCGACGTTGATTGCGCTGCTGATTCGGGCGCCGCTGCTCGTGCTGCCACGCAGGTTTGCTAATATCCTGCAGCACATTGCTGCCATGTGGATTCCGACGCCCATCGCAGCGCTTACGAATCCTCTCACCATCACGTACGGAGCGATTCACTCGCAGAACCTCCACACGGCGGCTCGCGGTCTCAGCCAGATGGATTTCTTGTCCCCGCAGCGCCCCACGACAACACTGACACCGCAAGTCTTCAGCACAAGGCGGTCCAGTCACTCCCCTTTGCTTCCTTATCGGCTCGCAAAGATGCTTTTGTACGCGACACGGTTCATCATGGCGACGGGACTCGGTTTTGCTGGGTGGGTCATGACGGCGAAGCAGCTCTCTATCGCTCTGCCGGACGGAATGGGGGTACGGGGTTCGGCGTACGCATATGTGGTTGGCATAGTAGCCAGTTTCATTGGGTTTTCGGTCATGGGCGCCATGGAAGGCATTCTCAGCGGTATTCTGGACGCGGTTGTCATCTGCTACGGCAGCGAGCGGCGGATGGCTAGCGGAGGCGGCGCCTACTGCATGGAGGCGGCGTACCTCTTTGGAGAGAGAAGACGGGACGAGAGGGGCCTACCATGAGCTAGGTTTACTCACATTTACCTGTAGTTGTTGATTTTGCTTGTTACAGCACTCTGGAGAAATTGTATACTTGTGAGGAACGAGGAGTTTCGCCTGCGCTAGCGTGCTTATATGTCTAGATGGGATAGACGCCTCAGGGTAGGCCCTTGTTCGATGGAGCTTTTTGATGGTATTACCGACCTAGGTATTTCTCACGACATGCTGAGCACACTCGATGACCGACCTTTGTGGATTCTGTGTGTATGAGTGAGGTGATGAATTGGCGGCGGCGGGAAAGTGACAGTGCCAAGAATCCGAGATAAATGCTGCGCCACAGGTGTCTTCGCAATGTCAACGGTCACCATCTTTCGCCCGAGAGGAGTGGTTCCGTTTGGAAACAGAATGGAGTGAAGGGAACGGGCTTGCCTTGGCATAGAGGGCGGAGTGCGGCGTGGCTTTTTTTGTCGCGGGTGATTATTGGCCTCTCACTTTTGTCCTTCGGGATGTAGGAGCATCACGACCCGATGGTCGAAGGTGATGGAGTATTGGTGGGGGGCACCGCCACACGGTGGGAAGAGATGAATAGAGTCATCTGGACATTACCTGTAAATCCCGTCTGTTGACTTGGGTTGTCGCAGCAGGGGAAAGAGTCATTTTTCCACATGTTGGATTTGCATTACGAAAGCAAAAGGTCACCAGCCACAATCTTTGTGCGTCGTGGATAGCTGACTTGTTTGCCATTCATTTCAGCATTGAATTTGCGTATCAAGGTATGAAGACTGAGGCGAGGGGTCAAACTGCTGGGTACCTTCAAGCTTCACGGGTGACGGGCCTGTGCGAGACGTTTCCAGTTCGACCTGAGGTAGCTTTTTTGGAGGGGGGGTTTTACTGCAGATGGGAGGAGTATTGTCGGGGTATTAGAAGCTTGTTTTACCTTGCAAATGGACTTATCAGATACCTTGCCTTGCGTATCGGCTCTCCGGCATCCCGGGTCGCAGTGGGAAAGCGACAGGCAGGCCACAGGTGAGGGGCGGCGGCGTGAGGGGCAATCCGCTGGACAAGCATCAGCGGGGAGGGAGGGGCTGTGCTTTGCAGCTCGCAGCAGCAGCTCGCATCATGCTGTTGCAGCATAGCCAAGACGGAACCCGCAGGATAGGACAGGACTGGAAGAGGTAAGATAGGCACAGTATGGCAGTGAGAGCAGCTTCGAGAAGCGGGATCGAATCGAACTAGAGGCGGTTGTGATCTACCTTACCTTACGTACTTGTTAGATATCCGTACCCTTCGCCCAGCACGTCATATCGTAGGCGGCACGACGGCAGCGATTGTCATCTCAATGCTCTCCGGTACTGTTCCAGAAGATGCTAGGTTTAGTGAGTGAAGACACGAAGCCTCGTTTAGCAATTACTTCCCCGTCCCTCTAAAATCACCGCCAAGGTGCCTCTGGACGGCGGGAGCAGCGGAAACGTCGGGGTGCCATTGGTTGCGCGGTACAAGTTCCCTCCGTTTAGCTAGAGGGGGGGAGGGGGAGAGGGAACCGTTCCAAAACTGAAAGACGTAATCCCCGGCCCTCCGCGCCCAGCTCCAGACTCCAGTCGAACCTATTGCGCCTCCCCAATACAACACCTGACACCCCGCGGTAAGAGGTAGGAGGCAATAAGTTCCTTTCCCTTTCTCCCCCTTCCCCCAAAGTCCCATCTCATCCCAACCTCAAAACTTTGGTGTCTTTTTCCCTCTTCAAAGATTCTTTAATTTTCTGAAAAGAGGTAGCTGTGGAAACTCGGAAACTTTGTTGTTCACTCACTCACACACGCACACACGCCTCGTCTACAACTCATTCACCTACACCAAACAATCTACCTCAGACCACGTCGATTAATTGAAAGGCCTCATACCACCGAAAGATCCTAATTGCGTTTACATAGTAGTACGCCCTCTGCGCCCGACTTCACTACACATGGACGATAATTTCGCTCCCCCGTCGGGTCCCCCGCCTCCCAAGGCCCCCGAGGTCCCTCCCGGCTGGATCGCTCGCTGGAACGACCAGTACAAAGAATGGTAAGTCGAGACCTCGCCGCCCAACAATTCACCTGCGTCTCTTGATTATGCTCACCGATACTAACACACGCACCTCAGGTTCTACGTAAACCTCCACACCAAGCAATCCCAATGGGATAAGCCAACGGAGCCTGCCCTCCCTCCCCCTCCCCCACCAGCAGAAGATGGACACCCGGGCGGCCCCCCTCCGGGTTACGCCCCGCGCCCCGGCGACCACCCGACGCCGCCGGTCGATCAGAAGCACAACCCCTACGACCAAAAGGGCAACCCCTACGAGAACCAATCCTCGACCCCTCAGCCGCCCGGCGCCGGTGGCTCCAACGCAATGTCCGAAGACGAGCGCCTAGCCCGCCAGCTTCAGGCCGAGGAAGAAGCTCGCGCCCGCAGCGGCGGCGGTGGCGGGCCCCCGGGCTACAACCTCCAGCAGCAGCAACATCAGCAGTCGCAGTCGCCGTTCCCCGACCAGCTCCCGCCCCGCGCGCAGGACACAAGAGGAAAGAGTAGCTCCGGCGGCTTCTTGGGCAAGCTGCTCGGTAAGGCCAAGACGGGCGGCATGGGCGGTTCGAGCCACGCGCAGCCGCAGTACGGAGGGTATCCCCAGCAGCAAGGTTACGGCGGCTACCCGCCCCAGCAGCAAGGTTACGGTGGTTACCCCCAGCAGCAGCAGTACGGCGGCTATCCGCCTCAACAGGGTTACGGGGGGTACCCTCAGCAGCAGGGCTATGGCGGATATCCCCAACAGCAGGGCTACGGCCGGGGCATGGGCGGTATGGGCGGTATGGGCGGAATGAGCGGCGGCGGTCGGAAACCCGGCGGCGGCGGCATGGGCATGGCGGGCGGTCTGGCGCTCGGTGCTGGTGCCGGTCTGCTTGGTGGTGCGTTGATTGCGGATCACATCAATGATGAGCAGCAGGAGGCGTACGCTGAGGGATACAGTGAGTCATAATCTTTGGACCCCGGTTTGATATGTGAACAGTTGCTAACATCGGTACAGACGACGGAAATGACGGAGATGATTTCGGCGGCGGTGACGACTTTGGAGGTGACTTCTAAGTGGGCTGGCACTGGATTACGGCCAGCTGATATTGACGTACTAAATGGATCATGAGAGAAGGGTTGGCCGGTAAAGGGATTGACGGGGGCGGGTTTCAGGGGGCATAAATCTGCGTCTAATATGCGTTCTTCTCATGGGGAAACAGAGCCCGGTTACGTTTAAACATCATGTCTCGTTGCTTTTCCTGCGAATACTTTGATGCAGCAGCATACATGATGACAAGTCTATGAGGTCCAATATTAATCCTATCGACAATGGGAAACTACCAAAGAAAAGCGAGGAAGGAGGGCGGGCAACTAATCGTATAAAGAATCGAATAGTGTAACCCTTAGTCAATCCGCACTCTGACTTTGTTGGAGTATTGCTTTTTATTCTGATTGACTTGACCATCTCGCACAGATCGCTGATGACAGGAACGGGTGTTTGGGATGGAATACAGATCCTTGGGCGGGGAGTTGCCTGGGATAGGTATAAGATATATATGATTATACCGACCCAGTGCCACGGAGAGAGGCATTGGCGGCAGCACATGAGAAGTCCCGACATCCTTGGTTCATACAATTTGGTAACAAATTTGTTTATAGGGGATTGTAGTTTTCAAGAAAGCGCCGTAGCCTAGAATTTTATATCCCCATAGGAAGCCGTGATAACAATCTTGAACACCGTTGGGATTATCTCGCCTGCTTACAGTCTCACCTCCGCACGCCCTTCTCCTTCTTACCACCGGCACCACCGCCACTCAAGGCACCGGACCCGGAACCGGAGGATTCTTCCTTCTTGCTGCTGCTGCCGGTACCGGCAAGGAAGCCCGCCATGTCAAAGTTGGCCATGGGGTTCGCGTCGCCGCCTCCGCCGCCGCCGCCGAGGAGGGAGTTCATCGGGTTGCTCTTTTGGCGTTCTTCGAATTCGGCGCGCATTTCGGGGTCCACTATTGTTTTTCTCAGAGTTAGAAATCCGATTCTCGAGAAACATGGTTCCGAGCGAAACAGGGGGGTGGGAGAGGGGAGAAGTTTGGGTTAGACGTACTGTTGTCCATGAGGTAGGGCATGCCGAGGAAGATGCCCATGCTGATGAGGCCGAGGAGGATCATGGGGTTCTTGAGGATAGTGAGGATGGAGACTATGTGAGATTCATCGTTAGCGTTTCTGTGCTTTCCAATTGTGTGTGGATCTCGGGAGAGGAGAGGTCCTCGTCGTGAAAGCGCCAACAGCTCCGGGAGCTTAGCCTTCTCGCCATCAACACCGAACAAACCCAACACTATGAAATCATAACAGGGGGCAAAGGGGGATATATAGAGAGAGGAAAAGACTCACACTTGCTCCTCTCAACAAAATAATTCTTCTGCCCCAACACCCTAACCTCGAACCCCTTCCCACCGCCCTCAAAGTCCTTGGACACGTACGCCTCGCCCTTGTTATCCCAGTCGTTGCCGCGGTACGTCTCCCACGCCGCGACCCCGCCCTCGGCATCGACGTCGAGCCGCAGCGGCGCGAAAGCGTGGGTCGCGCAGTGGACGTCGACGAGGTAGGAGTCGCTGCTGTCGGTGAGGTTGTGGAAGACGAAGGTGTTTTTGACCGACAGGGGCGCGGAGAAGGTGGCGCCGAGGGAGGAGAGCGTCGCGTGGGTTGAGGGCGGGAGAGTGTAGGGGTTGGGCAAGGCTTGGGAGGAGGGGATCGAGAGAGTTAGGGAGGCGGCGGATGCTGATGTTGCCGCGAGGGCTAGGGTTGTGAGGAGGCGCATTTTCGATGGGCGGTGGACTTTTGAATTCGAGGTGGTTTCGGGAGGGATTCTTTGACGACCGGGGGGGGATGGTAGACGTCTTGATGTGATAGACAAGTCAAGAGCGGTGAGGGTAACAAAAGGAATGAGAATGGAGCTTTGTCGGCGAGAGAGGGCGGGGGGGTTTCTTCGTGATGCTCTCGAGGTGGGATGTTGGAGGATATAGCTAAAATCGAGCGGCGCCGTGGGGATTGGAGCTTGGATGGGATGGACCAGACACACAGGAAAGACAAGAGGCGTCGTTGAATGGCGAACCTCTCTCGGCCAATCAGATTCCGTTGGCGGATTAAACCGGTCGTCTACCGCGCCCCGGGAGAGGCAGAGGGTGGAGACGGTGAACATCCATCCATCCCACGCCCCCCCCCGCCCATTCCAGCTTTGCATTGGAGCTATCACCGGCGCCGGTTTACAACCACAGACCTCGTTGGGATCCCGCACGTTTTCTGGTCCTCACGATTCTGAGGTTGCCGTAGGGTTGTATAAATGCACAACGGCCAGTGAACCTCATGACTCCGTCTCAATTTCTACCGGTATCTCCAACGAATGTCTGCTGCCCATGTCACTTTTGGTCTCCATCGCATCGCAACGGCAACATGTGGTTTGCATATCCACAAAGCAACACACTAAAATACCGCGCGCCCGCCCACTAGGAATTTGTGGCGTCGGCACGTTTCATTTCGTTGCGTGCTTTGCCGTTGTTTTTGGGGCGCGGTTTAAGTTGCCACGGGTGGGAGAGCTAAATGGTCGATCACGCACTTTTTTCTCATCGGAGGATGGACGGGAAGGACACCAGGGATCAGGAGGATCATTTCTCGTGCCCGCCAATTTTCCTTGTGATCTTCAGTTACTGCTGTGCTTACATGGTATCTTCGTGGTTTGGGGCGGCACGGCTGGCATGGCGGGACGTGTGATGTACGCCCTGCCCTTGCCTGTCCTCTCTACAGTGGACGCCGGACAGGCCCTGGGCAACGCTGGATCAACTTTGTGGTTTCTGATCATGTTCCACGAGGAGCGATCAAGGGGCATTTCAAGCACGATGGCGTTTCTTCGGCTTTCTCTTTTCTCTCCATCCAAGCCCGCCAAGCGAGCCAAAACATAAAGACGAAAGACAAGGTAAGACAAGAATCGTAAGTTGCTTTTTCTACGGGTATTTTCGTTCTCGTACATTTGGAAATAAATAAAGGCAAAAAAAATCATCCCAGACGCAACCACACATCATCAGTCTCATGTTCTCGCCGAAAACCTACGGCGCAAGCGGCGCATCGTCCTGCTTGGTCTCAGCCGCGGGGGCGGGCTTGCCCGTGGTGGAAGCGGAGGAGGCGTTCTTGAAGGACTGCTCGAAATCGGCAATGATGTCGTCAATGTGCTCCGTGCCGACCGAGATGCGGATGAGGTCCTCGCTAACGCCGGAGCTCGTCTTTTCCTCGTCCGAGAGCTGCTCGTGGGTGGTGGTCCAGGGGCTGTGGCGAAAGTCAGCGAGATGCAAGAATTTTTTGGCCCGAAACGGAGACAAGAGAAGAGGGAAAGGGAGCCAGTCTTCTCCTTTCACTCTGCTATACTCTCTCTCTCTCTCTCTCTCTCTCTCTCTCTCTCTCTCGCTCCATTGTGAAAGGGGACGCAAACTTACTGAATAGCCAAGGTCTTGGAGTCACCAACGTTGGCAAGGTTGGAAATAAGCTTGAAGCCGTCGACGACCTGGCTACCGGCATCGCCACCGCCCTTGACGCCGAAGCTCAGGACACCGCCGAAGCCGCGCTTGAGGTACTTCTTGGCCGTCTCGTGGTATGGATGGCTCTCGAGACCGGGGTACGACACCCAGCTCACGTAGTCGCTCGCCTCGAGCCACTTGGCGAGCGCGAGGGCGTTTTGCGCGTGGCGCTCGGCGCGCAGCGACAGAGTCTCGATGCCGATGATGAGCTGCTGGGCGGCAAAGGGGTTCAGGGAGGCGCCGAGGTCGCGGAGGATCTCGACGCGGGCGCGGATGATGAAGGTGATGGGGCCAAAGGTCTCCCAGAACTTGAGGCCGTGGTAGCCGTCCGAGGGCTCCGTCATTTGCGGGAAGCGGCCGTTGTCCCAGGGGAACTTGCCGCTGTCGACGATGACACCGCCAATGGTTGTGCCGTGGCCGCCGATCCACTTTGTCGCGGAGTGGACCACGATGTCGGCGCCGTGATCGATGGGGCGGATGAAGTAGCCGCCTGCGCCAAAGGTGTTGTCGACCTGGGGGTTTTGGTGTTAGCTGCCGTCTTGCTTCCCGGGTGTGGGTAGGTACTCCCGACAATGGAGACAGAGAGAGACTTACAATGACGGGAACGCCCTTCTCGTGCGCAACCTTGGCAATAGCCTCGAGGTCGGGGACATTGTACTTGGGGTTTCCGATGCTCTCGACGTAGACGGCCTTGGTCTTGTCGTCAATGGCGGCGGCAATATCCTCTACGCGGTCGCCGTCGACAAATTTTGTGTGGATGCCGAGGCGGGGGAGGAAGACCTTGAACTGGTTGTAGGTGCCGCCGTACAGCAGCGAGGTGGAGACGATGTTGTCGCCGGCGTGCGCGAGGGCGTTGATGGCGATGAACTGGGCGGCCTGGCCCGAGGAGGTTGCGAGGGCCGCGACGCCGCCCTCGAGCGCAGCGATGCGCTTCTCAAAGACGTCGACCGTGGGCTGGAGTGGTGGGATGTATGGTCAGTCAACTTGGACACTATAACATGGAATATGTCGAGGAAGTGTCCGACGTACGTTCATGATACGGCTGTAGATGTTGCCAAACTCCTTGAGGCCAAAGAGCCTCGCGCCGTGAGCCGAGTCATTGAAGGTGAAACTCTACACATGTTGAATCTAGCTGTCAGTCCTATGGTGTTTGCGCCTGCGCTCGCGACGAGAGAGCTTGGTTATTCGTCGTCGTCGGGAAGGTTTTACGAACCGTGGTCGCGTAGATGGGGACAGCGCGCGAGTTTGTGGTGGGATCAGGTTCCTGGCTACGATGACACATCAATTCCACATGTCAGTTTCTTGAGAAACTCCAAGGGCAATGGAAAGGTTGTTTGCCCTCCCCGGAGGCATGTTTGCTTGGTGTGGTGATGGTGGTGGTGGGCAAAGGTTCTGTGAAAGAGAGCGTACATACCCCGCATGGAGCTGGAGAGTCTCAAAGTTCTTGCTTAATTCTTCAGCCATTGTTCAAGTTTGACTTTCTCTTTAGCAAGGAATGTTGTGTTTGGAAGAGGGAGGAATTGGAGACACGGAGGGAGAGGAGGGGGGAAAGAAGACAGCTTTTCTCTAGAGGTGTGCGAGCAGTATTAGAGGAAAAGAGCAACAGGGACGGTGACGCGCTTGAGGGAGACACAAGAGACGGGCCGGCAACGGAGTACGCAACGGCGAGGAAGAGCACGGAAGAGGGGAGGGGTAAGGGTGGTTGTCCAGCAATGGGAAGAGTGAGGCAGAGAAAGAGGGCTAGCTACGATGATGCCATTGAGGGGACATCACACCATAGGCCGGGCGGGCTGTTGTATGTGTGTGTATACATGGAATTGACTTCTTGGCCTTGCGAGGAGGGTCACCAGGGACCGAAGAAAAAAAGTTGCCTACCAGGTATTATCTCGGCCTCTCAGAGACAAGGCAACACCTCAAATGTATCGATTCCCTATTTGGGGGGAGAGAGGGGACCAGGACCCCTCCAAATCCCGCTGTCAGCTACTAGGTAGCTCGAAGAATAGCCAATTGGCTTCGATAGAGATGTCCAATAGTCTGGGTCCCATCGACAAATCAGAGCTTGTCACATTGTGTCTTTGTACGATGCTGCAGCAACGGCTGGCTCTCTCTCAATCGCTGATGTGAGGTGAGAGCTCTTGGGTTGCGTGGTTGCTTTGCTGTGATGTTGCTGAAGTGCGGGAAGAGAGCGCCGACTTAGGCAACGGGGGTGGGGCTTGGCCAGAGCACGCAATCGACGCCGAAATGTCACTTTGCGGGGCAAATGGCACCAAAGGAGGGGCACGGGAAGCCGAAAACCCCACTGGACAACCCGCGCGACCTGGAGAAGTTTTTCTGAATCGGTGTGGTTGCCGGCCGAGGGTTCACCGAGTGCCTTTGTTTCTTTTCCCAGAGGGCCTTAATAAGACAGTAAGAATGCGTCTCGCTGACCAAAAGAGATACGAGGCAAGATTGCTGTACGAAAAGTCTAAGGTCTGCCTCGTGGTTCATGTGTGGGGTGTAAGTTTTGGGGGCCGTTTCTACTCTGTACTATTTAGAAAGAGATACTGCGCAAGACATCGTCGACCTTACCGGCCGACTCGAGCAACGGTTCCACCCCCGACAACCTCACCTCGACCGGGTCCCACGGCTCACGATGCCGGCCCGCGGGTATCGGTCGTGGACTCTGGAGAGGTGAACTATGTGGATCAAAAACCATTGAGCCGGTCAAGCCGTTTCCCGCAAACGGCTACAAAGTGGGTGACAAAACCAGTTTTTGAGCCACACATCCAAAGAGATACTCTGATTACCCATATCACCTAACCATCACTTCTTCGATATCAAAAATCCAGACGACATGTGAAAATAATGTCTAGCTTTCATATCGGATTTCAAAAGTTCTTGTTGAGGTTGTCGTAGTGGTGATGGTTGTGGTGGCCCTCCCTCCGTTTGCGCAATCAAGCCCACATTCGCACTCAGTAAGATCGGCTTACATACCCTCATCCTTGTTCACTCTCGAATGCTAATCTATCCGTCTTTTACGGGTATAACAATCCACCAATCTCTCATTTGATCGCCACCGCGCATCATACGCCCAGTATACCTCCGAAGCAGAAGGACAAGGCCGCTCTAAGTGATCTAATAATCGTAGACTCAAAGGCCAAAAAGAACGACTCGAGCGACGAGAACTCCGCCGCCGGCCCGTCTAACAAGACCACCAAGTATACTAAGTCTGCCAAGGACAAGAAGAAGGCCACCGGAAAGGCTACCCGGAAGCGAAAGGCCGTAGCTAGCAAGAAGGGAAAGTCTACTGCAAATAACAACGCCGAGGCCTCTAATAGAAATTCGGCCAATAGCAGCGGCCAGGACACTCCGCCCCCGAAGAGGTTGAATACCGGCAAGGCCAAGGATATGATGGCTCGCGACAAAGATGCCGGACGCAGTAGAACCAGGAACGCCTGGGTCCCGTCTACGCACATTACCGAGAATCCGGCGAGAGAAGAAGGTTCCCAAGAACGCAATTGGGCACGTGGGCTTTCCAACATCGAATTACCAGGAGCCAGATATGAGGCTCTCGGATGCGCTGAGTGGAAAACTACAATGTCACCACCCACTTGCGGCTATCGTTTCAGAGAACAAAAACCAAGTGCACAAGTGTGGAAACACAGCGATAGCCTGACAAACGGCTGTAATCGCAAAAAAAAAAAAAAAAAAGAATGAAAAAAATGACAAAATTTGATATCAACCAGAGCGGTCAAGTTTCTCTTTTCCGGAATTACCATGTACCACAGGCCAAACCTCCTCACAAAGAAGGATATGCTAACAGAACAATCAAAACATTCATCTAGTGTGGTGTGCGGTGTACCAATTACCATGTCGGGGTACGACGTAAGGTAACACAAGTAGGCTACTCGAATAGGTATCCCAGAAAGGGGGTACCCCATAGTCCTATTCACATAGTTCAGGAGGAACATGAAAATGTTAATGAAGCTCAATAACATGCATTGCCGCTCGCCCACCTCAGCCACCCCCAAAAGTTGACAAGCAAGCAGGGACTCCCAGTCTGCGAATGCACCCCCGGCCAAAAAATATCTACTCCACCACCGTCGAGCGGCAGGGTGTCCAATAAGAACAGCCACGTCGTTCATAGGCGCTGACCACCCTGTTTGCTTCTTCTCTTAAAGTGCGTTTTAGTGGTAGATCTTTGTTCGGATTTAAATTAATAGTCGGTCTTCTTTAAGAACGTAGCATGACAATGCTGACGTGATTCTCTTGGAGAACCATGCAAGTACTCTCAACCCCTTTATACGAATTCTTGTTCAACGTCGATATCAAGTAGCACGCGATGGAAGTAGGTGAACCAAGACTAAGAGATTATGGGTAGGAAAGACTACAGACCGCAGCCTATAGAATAGTAATAATACGGATGGCATCTACGTCCTTATTGAAATGACCAACCCAAAAACCAACTGTATCCGATTCACGCACTTTTTCCGTTGTAACCATGGTTAGTTGTCAACCCAATGACACCTATACCCATCCGCTGCTGTTGCTGTCCCCATTGCCCATTTCATAAACCAGTCATCTAGACGAGGTTCACATCACTAAATCCCGGGCCGTAGATGCGTCTCTGGTCGAGTTCCCAGATGGATTTTCGATCGCTCTTCCGGTCCCACGAAGGCATCCGCTTGGCTCTAATCAGCTCCACGGATGCCTCACGTCTGCGCTCCTCGAGAGCGACGTGGAATGACTTGAAGGAGTCGGCGTAACTTACGCAGACTCCTTCATTTGAGGAGGGGGGCCAGCGGCGCTGGGCTTGCGGAACCCCGTCTTGAAAACATCCTTGACCATGAGGAGGGAAGTGCCGGCCCAGAGGGAGAACTCGAGAGCGGCCAAGACGGTGTCGGCGCGGGCAGCGGCGCACACAGTGCCACGGCAGAAGAGAAGCTTGCTGAGGAAGACGGCGAGGGCAATGAAGCCAGCGAAGTAGAAGAGGACGTTGAGGAGCTCAAAGGCAACGGCACCCCAGGGGTGGGAAGCTGTTGTCGTGTTAGTTGGCTTTGGCTCACTTAAGAATCTTCGACATGAAGATAGGCAAGACTCACCTCTGGGAGCGAACTTGGGCACAAGCTCGAGGTAGGCAATCGAAATGAAAGACCAGAGCGGTACGAAGACCAAGAAATTGATCTGGGACGGAGACGAAGTCATCGTGTCCATGTTGTACCAGTTGGCGACTGCAGGCAAACAGTCAGCGCATAATTTCTTTCCAACGTCGGCCACCACCATCGGTGACCAAGTTCCAAAGGTCCCAAATCACATACTAAAGCCCGAGAGACCCAGGATCACCAACGCCAGAACACCCTGGACAATTCGGAGAGGAAGAATAAGACCCATCTTGTCGATTTTCGTGATCGTTTCGTGAAAGTAGATTCGTGAGATTCGTTTCGACAGGATAAAGGAGAGGAGAGTAAGGAGAGAAAAATTGTATGGTAAATAAGTCTAAGCTGCCCCCAGTGCGCTGTTGAGAAGTGAAGAAGGAAGTTTGACAAGAAGAAAAGGGTGGAAACGGTCGAGCGGGAAAAGGTCCAAGAAGAGGCAGCACAGCATGAAAGAGGGGAAATCACTTATGCTTTTGTATGGGCTGGGCAGTCCCATCTCTCCCTGTCTGAGTGTTTGAGAGGCGGAACATGTAGTCGCGGCTCTAGTCATCACTGGACACCCATGGGTCGGGTTGGTGCTGGGCAATGCACGGCCTGAGACCTCTGAAATGCATCTGAAACGGGACTCCCCTGGGCCGTCGCCATGCGCTATCCAGACAAGAAGATGGTGTGTAGCAGGGCCCCAGAAATCCCCATGGACCAATCCCAGCACAAGATCAACAGAGCCTCCTCTTCATGCCGGCCCACGGCTTGGCGCTGGCAGGTAACGCAGCAAGGTACTCCGCAGAGTTGTTGCGTTTGGTTGGACGGCCTGGGGTGTTGGCTACGTTGTAACTTCGTTGTCTCTGTGCCTTCTCTGCCGCTGGCCTCGTGGCAGGCTTACATCGAAGGGGGGGCCGACGAATACAATGAGTGGTTCTTGATGGAGACGCGCACACGCATTTGTCGGACGACAAGACGTGGACTGGGTTCCATGGGCGGAGCTTGATCGGCGATACGACGCCAGCGGGCGGCAATGCTCTTTACAACTCTGAACGTGAGTAAGAGCCCCAGGAGGGAGAGAGAGAGAGAGAGAGAGAGAGAGAGAGAGAGAGAGAGAGAGAGAGAGAGAGAGAGAGAGAGAGAGAGAGAGAGAGAGAGAGAGAGAGAGAGAGCCTCGTCATGCAGGAACGGCGATATTGAGATACTGTGTATAGGCTTGGAAAGTCTGGAAGCCAAATTAACGTTGCATTGCTGCAGCGATGCGAACTGCCAGCAGAGACAAACCATAGCCTTGCCTCACTCGACCTCATTAGGTAGACCAGCCCTGATGGCGACAGGTGTGGGTGGGTTTGGCAGACTTGAGGTGAAAGGCTGAAGCGAGATCTTCAGATTGAGAAACACAGCGCGACGGGATGTAGTGTGTCTGCGGGACCAGTCCAATCATGAATGGCAGGCTGGTGCAGATGCGCGAGTCTGCAGGCCAAAGGCTCAGGACTCGGAGGGTTTGAGGCTGAAGAGCAGCGAGTCTCAAGATGCCAAGCATGATTCGCCCGGGGCCCAGCATGTGTCACCGAACTTTCGACGACGGGCCATCTCGTGTTGTGGGTGTTGAAACAAATTGGGACTAGAGTAGACTGACAAAACGTAGCGAGAAGAGTACCTAGGACATGGGAATGGAATAGTGGACGGGATTTGGAGCTTGGCTTCGCTGCGACGCGACAAGAAACTACACAGTAGGTAGGGAGGCAAGAGGGTAAGGATGGTGAACGTGGTGAAAACCGCAAAGGGAATGAAGATGGGACTCGTATACGGAGTACCTACTGCAGAAGAAAATAATAAAATGTCCGAACGTAGCTTGTTTCCTCGCTACCAGGTCCACCCCGTTTCTGCTTCCTTCGAGACCTTCATGATTCCCATTTAGCGGGCGGGTTGTGGGTTGTCATTGCCAAAATGGAAGACCCCCCCTCCCCTGTCAAGTCTATCTGGGGGTTAGCGGACAGGGAAAGAGCCAAGAGCAGTGGAAGTCTCTTGCCGCGAAGAGAGCCTCCCATCGGTTGTGCTTAGTAAAGACCGGCAGGACCTCTCTCTGAACTTTGAAGCACTTGACGCAGTTGGACAGTCAGGACTAAGGCCTCAGGAGAGGGAACATGGACGTTTTGCAAGCCAAGCGCCATGGAAGATCTACAACAGAAACAGTACGGCGGACGTTACAACGCCAAGGGCGCCGCCCGAGTTTCTCTCCAAGGGCATTCGAAACAGTAGCAAGATGCCATACCTAGTCACCTACCAGACTACCTTACAAGTTACCTTACGTGCAGGCGCCACCTGGGGGAGGAAATCTTGGCTTCACGTATCATCCGCAGGGGCCTCCCGTCGCCTACCGATGCGGGAAACCGGGGACATGCAGGCGAATGCAGGCCCCAAAGTCGTCGTCGCTTCTGTCGTCCTCTCTGTTCCACCTTACACACTCCGCAACCACACTTTGCTGTTCTTAAAAAAGCTGCTGAGACGCCGCACAACCTGCTCCCAGACTCAGTCCGATACTCAGATTGCCAAGGATTCTCCCTCGACAGATTCTTCATACTTCTTGGCATTCCCTCTTCCCTTGCTGCTTCCTGCTGACACATCTTCCCTCTTCTAGACTTCTGCAGGGCCTTTGCGCAGTCTTTCTCACCATTCCGCCGCCCCCTCCACCCTCAAGGGCTCCAATCTGTCTCACGACTCGCTGCAACAGTGCAACAGCGGCTGCCTCTGCCGACTTGGCCAGCCTCGAAACTGCTACTCTATCAAAGCTTCGCCTCGCTAGACATCATGTCAGAAAGGCTTGGATTTGCTGGGCATCGAAACCATCCGCTCATCCTGCACCCTTGGTGCCGACTCTATGGGGTTCCCCCATAATATTGGCAATGGATCGGACGCTCTCCAGACTCTTGGCCGCCATCGGAGAGCCCATTTCTGCCACCCGTAGAGCCTCAACGCAGACCCAACTTCTTGGCAGCGCATCTGGAATTCGCCTGATCACTACATCTGCGCCAAATTTGCCTCACTCCTTGCCGCATGAAAGAAAATTCTCGAGTCTGAGCTGCTCATGACCGTGCCGTAGTAGGTCCAACTAACTAGAAGAACACTTCCGAATTCCCGCATATAGGTTTTGCAGCCGACTCGCCTACTTTATCTGGATGTCTCGTTTCAATATTGGCAGAAGCGCATTAGTATGCGAAGAAACGAAAAACTTCCACGGAGCTCATACCCCAGCGACTTGGTCCGGACCAGCCAACAACACCAGCCTACCCTCGATGCTTTCAGGCCACGTCTTCCCCTCTTTGTCACGGGACCCTGACTCTCTGTCGTATTTCCGAGACTCTCAGAAATGGTAGTCTGAAAAGAACAGCTGGCCTACGCCGTGTCATCCCGAAGCCGTACGAGTCATCCCAGGACTTGTGCTGCTGAGGCATGCAGTCGGTACCCGAGCACACACTGATCGGACGTGATCCAAAACGTAGACACTTGCTTTGTGTTTCTCTAGTTCCGCCAGAGCCGTTTTTCTGTATCATCAGCGTCTTCTTACAATCGACACGT